AAACTATGTATTTACTTTCTTAGAACAGTAACTCCTGTCAACCAATTAAAAATGGGAGCTTAAAAAATAACTAGATCTTGAACCCTTTAATTTGGAGACACCACTCAGAATATTTATCTAGTGCCAAGAATTTCATTGTATGCCAATTAGATGCTATATTCACATGTTCCTGTCCCTTTTTAATAGGCCTAACAGTTTAGTGCAGAATCAGACACTATCAAAATATACCCACTTAAGTATGCCCGGCTTAGACTTCATTCTTAATAAAGAATGAGATGTAACATCTAATTTCTTGGCTTGAATCATTTCTAAGTAAGGAATCACAAAGTCAAATGTCAACAGAGCCCCGGCTATGATATAAGTGTGTGGAATGGCATGTGGTGGTGGTGATGAACTGGAGAGCGTACCCCAAATTTAAAAGGCACAGCAGTTAATGTCATTCAGTTATTTTCATGCAAGTTTGTGGGCCCACTTTCTAGGTTTTCTAACTTTCCAAGAAAATCTCTCAATGGTAATGCAATCTCTCCTAACTTACCTTCAAGCAACTGATTAAATGTTTAACAAGAACTGTGTAACCAAAACAAAAAATGCCAGTTGACAAATCTAGATTACTGATGACTGAAGGAAACCTGTAATAGTTACAGTGTAAGAATCTTAAACTCTAGATACCAAAACTAGTTATACATCCTAACTGGGGTATTTAAATTCTTGATTGTTTTCATGTTATATGTCATTTTATATACATCCTTAATTTGTAATAAGTATACTTTCTTAGAGGAAGGAGAATGCAAAATATTAACACCTTCATAAATTACTAAAGCACTTTAAAGTTACATTATTTTGGACTTCAGTTTGCTATGAAGCACCTAGTAAAGATTTTTTGGCCAATGTGAGTCATAAAATAATGTAGAATACTCTCATTTAAGTTATCAGCCAGACGATTCTAAGGACACTTAATATATTATGTTTTACTCAGTACAGACAACCTTATCAATTTACTGTTGATGTTAGAAATTTCTCTAGTATAAATTAGACAATACATATTAACAGTTCACTGTATATCCAGTACTGTAATGTGTTGGAGACTTTAGAAATACAAATTTTGTTCACAAATATTTCATGGTTTTCACCTATAATTAAGTAAAAGGTGGCTACCAATCACAAAATTATATAGCAAACTATGTAGACCATAAAATAGATTTCAAAATTATATGCATACATGTATACATACCTACAGATAGATTACTGAGGAGAGCTGTAGGGAAAGTCATAATTATGTAACTGTATATGCATATTAAAGAAGTGATAAATTATATGACTCAGACCACTAGAGATTCTGCTTCCTCACTGAACACTTCCTTTGACTTCATCTCACTTCACACTGCCTCATTTTCCCTTGTGCTTCCAGATATATAAGAAGAGGCAGCTCCTAGCTTAAAGACTTCCTTCAAACTTAATGGTTCTTCTAACTGCAATTTTAGTTACGACCTTTTACTATGGGTTTATCAAAAGCCAGATTTGTTTTGGCTGTCTCAAAGTCCTGTTAGTGTTGAAAATCTCTGAGGTGTGACTTGTAGCTGAGAAGACGGGCTCCAGGCCAAATCTTACCAGGCTCTTACCAAGCAATTATAAAGGCTTCACCTGGAAGGTCTCATGGGAGAAATCTGCCCTTCCCATACCAGAGTTGTGCCCAGTATGGAGGAGCTGCAGTCAGCGACTCAACCCCCATGCCAGCCATGTTCCTGTGCATAGCTGCATTCCTAGCCCAAGTGCCTCCATTCAGGGGCCTCCTTATTGCAGGCCCAGGGCCAAGGCCTCCCTTAAATGCCTCTGTCCAGACCAGCTTACGGGGGCTTTAAAGAGACTTTACTGTGATTCAGTATTCAGTACTTTTCTAGCCCCAGCTCTTTCCCCTTTCCTTCCCCTGGCCTGCCCCATTCTTCCACCTAAAACAAAAAACCAGCAGGAGACTTTTGTTCAGGGATCTCTCAGCAGAGAGACAACACTCTGCTGCTGCCTTTTTTTTTTAATTATTAAATGAGGTGTAATTGACATTTAACATTATATTAGTTTCAGATGTACAACATCCTAGTCTGATAACTGTACCCTGCAAAATGGCCACAGCAAGTCCAGTTTCCCCATGTCACCATATAAAGTTACATAATATGCAGTACAGTGTTATCAACAGCAGTCACCACTCACTCTGCTTCTACGCTGACACTTCTGACCCTTGTCCTGTGTCTGGAGAAAAATTGCCATTGATGGAGCCACCACATTCTTTCTGGCCTCTGGCTTATACTATTGCAATAAGTGAATGAAGGCTTAATTATTATTTTCATTTTTGATGTTTTAGTGGGCCACTCTGACATCTGGGAGCTCAGCTCTCTCCAGCTTAGTTCTTGACAGTAGTTTTTCATACTGTAATGGAAATAGCTTTTTAAAGTCATCCAAAAACTGATGATCAGATATAATACAGTGACTACCAGCTTATCTTATTATTTATCTCTATGATTTATTTAAGATGCTTGAAAACTCTCTTGGCCCATCCCTGAAAGTCTTTCTGTTTGGAATTCACTACCTATAGTAAAGGCATATGATGATTGGTGTCAGATTATTTTGAATTTAGGCTCTGCTTCTTCTATCATCTAAGAAAAAGTCACAAAGAATCTGTGGGCCTTAATTCCCATACCTTTATAATGAGAACATAACATTACTAATACTTCAAAAGAATGCTTAAGAATTAAATCTAAAATGATTGCTGTGAACCTTTCGAAGAATTCCATAAAATCACTGCTTTTTACTAGACTTCATTCCTGTTTCAGTGAGTGCTTTTTTCCTATTATTATCCTTTCTTTTCCCATCTCATTACACAGAGGCTCTCTCCAAAATAAATCTTTAGATTCATTTTCTTCTCTACTGTCTTCCTCTCAAGTCCTAATGAATGCAGTATTTTACTTAAATATATAAAAATGTAGTAGTCAGTGAAAAATCGTCAAATTAAACAATCCAAAACCTAAGGACTTTCAGAATAGGAAGATGTATTCCAACTATTTCTTTTAATTTTACTAGAGTTATACTTTTCTTTTTCACAAAACATCATTTTACAAATACATTTTCATATATACTTTAGCCTTTTCCTCCACGTCTTCTTTCTTCTCCTTAGTTGACTTCTCTGTCATCCCTTTACAGCTGCGGCACAAAATGTCTGATCACGAGCACCACGGGTTTCAGAGATGCTCATCCCCTTTCTGGCTCAGTGGTGAGGATTCATCTCCTTGTCTAGATTTTTCTTCTATGAATGGCCCTCCCATCAATCCCCCTGATTCTGGGCTCTCATTGAGAATGTTAATACCACCACCTTCTAAATGTGGCTTTTCCAAGCCAATCAGTGAGAGCAGCATCCCAAGACCTCACATAATTTGCTCTGTTGTTGTTATCTCACTTATTTTTTAATTCTAACAAAATGTGCCATTTATATAGTAAAGAAAAAAATCAGGTATGTCTTAAATTAGTGTGAGACTTGGTGTGTCACTTTTGCTTTCTGTGGTTATCTGATACCTGAGAGTTTTAAGTAGATAGTGGTGATGGTTTACAAATCCACAGAAAGATGTAATTCAAGGGACCCTTAGATATGGTAGTTGGAGAATTAGGTCAGTGGTGATACTGGTAAAAGTTTCAGTAGAGTCCAGTGCAAAAGAGTGAAGTTTATAGATTGATAGATGAGTTGAGGATGGAATGAAGTAAAAGGGTGGGAGCTGTTGTACCTCCTCAGGGAGCTTAGCCTTGAAGAGGAGAAAGAGATGAGAGGCTAGAGGAGTAAAGAGAGACAGAATAAAGGTATTTTGGGTCTGTTTGTTTTGTTTTTAACAACCGTCAAGATTTTGAGTATCTTTATATCCTGAGAAAGAGGAGTTAGATGGAAGCCAGGAGAGACAGAGGGTGGGGGATTAGGAGAACACTATTCCTGAGTAGGAGGGAGGAGCTGAGGGATGAAGTTGCCTGGAAGTCTTTGAATGGTATTTATGACTGACACAATCACACAAGTTGTTAAAGAAAGGAAGAGAGTGATTTTTCTGCATGAAAAAATATACTGCAGTCATGTTAACTGAAGAGCAAATCTATCACAATCAGCCTTATTTTCCATGACTGTAATCATCTGTCAATCAGAAAAATGTATGTATTCTGAGAACTCTAATTTTATATGAACCCCTCTATGCAATCTCTGTTCATGATCTTACAGAAAAACCAAATTTTTCCTCACTAATCCTCTCCAAATGGGAATTCTCTTTCTTTCATAGTCTGTGTGTGTGTTTACTTTTTTTTTTTGCCCTGAATGACCATCAAAGTGATGATTATTTTATTTTTACGTCACATTCTGGCCCAGACTGGCCCAGATAGCTTAATGATTTCGGTAGTGTATGAATTTATTTTACAGCATGGCTATTTGTTGTAGAGAACGTGAAATCTTAGCTAGGAATAAAAGATTGCAATGAATATAATAGTTGGCTGTCACTATTGTTATACATACAAATTAAACCCTTTGAAATTTTAAAGAATTGTCAGTTGTATTTGAATGGCTATATTTAAGAAGGTACATCACTTATGTTCAGTTATTTCTGTTTATCTTATGCAAAATATATATACTGAAATCATGTTTTTACATAGTTTCTGACATTATCAATTATTTGATACATAAGGTAATTGTTTCTAGTTATACAAAAAATCCAATGTGTCTTTTTATATATAAAGAATAGTATTGTCACCATTTTTGCTATCATCTTTGAGAACATTTTGCACAAATTTTTTGTTGCTTTTTTGCCAATGAGCATTTAATATAATGGGTTGAAATTGCCATATGAAATTTTTGATTCACAAAATGCCAAGTTCATATGACTTATCTGAATTTGTTGTTGTTTACATATGTTTTATATGTATATGAAATATTTAACATAATGTATCTACATAAAATACTTTCCTAATTCATATTATCTTCATTGCAGGCAGAGAGTGTGACACTTAAGTCACCCTCCACTGACATCTTTGATATGATTCCATTTTCTCCGGTATCACACCAGTCTTTGATACCTACTCGCAATGGCACACAGCCACCCCCAGTACCAAGTAGATCTACTGAAATTAGTAAGTTCTTTAAACAAGTCAATATTCTGTGCTTTATTTTTGTAAATATTAAATATTTTGGTTAACTTCATGGGAAATTATGTATCTTAACAAGTTCCCTAAATTTTTTCTTTCTCAAGTATTGTGTTTATTTATATGTGCCAAAATCAATTAATTATACTTTACTGTGTAATTCAGAGTATACTACCAAAGACATCACTGTTTATATTTGAAACTATTTTATTAAAAATAATATTTTGGTAAAGGGTTACTTATTTCATAATACAAGGCACTTAATTATATTTTATTGTGTTTCGAGTTGTATCTTTTATGTATATATTTAATGATTATAAATAACTGATGGTAATTATTTTCATTATTTATAATATATTTAGTAGAACTTAGTTTAATTTCTTTGTTATTCTTAAAGAAATATATGAACCTATGAATTCCATGATTTATTCCTAAACCCTATAGGAACGTTCTTTTTTTGATATCCAAAATACTACCAATATGTTGCTTTTCTGATTATTTTCTATGTATTTGGGAGGAACATAAAAGTCTCTTTTTCATGCATTAGAAAGTATCCAACAGATGCTCATTTTTAATGTTTTGATTGTATTTTGATGTTCTCCCTGTCACAGAAACTGAAAAAATGATTTTCAATGACCATGATCTGTCATATGTCCAAAGAGAGATTGAATTAAAGAGAATTTTACATATTATGCTTTATTGCATCTCCTTTGATTCACATTAAAACATTTTCAATATAACTGAAGTTTCAGCTTAGTGCTTGAAAGTATATCAAAGCCTATAGTTTATTTCTTTCTCTGTGTGGAATTTAACAAAATACAATGTTCATGTTAAGTGTTCAATAAATTTTAGAGGACTAATTTGTAAAAACAAAGTAATAACTAAGAACTTATCAGTTTACAGAAATATTTCAATACTTTACATAAACGAAAATATACTAAAGTTCTTCCAAATATATTTTGTGCCAGTTCAAAATATTCTTTTCAGGGAAATAATTCATTACATACATATCACAGTGTGTTTTTAGAAAATATTGCCAATACCCTGATATCATAATGGGATATCCATTTTTGCCTTTATGAGTGTCCCACATCTCTTCCTTTACCTGTTTTTTACTTCCTTGGACTTCATAGTGATGAAGTGTTTTACTCATTCATTTAATTAGTCCAATGAACGTTTGTTTAACATACACTAGATTAGACTTGGGTTACAAGTTGGAATTTTAAATATAAATCAACAATGTATCTTCAATGGAAGGTTTTAATTCAAGTTGAAATATAAATTGAGAAGAGTGCATAGATTTGAAGATATTGAGAAGGAATAATCTATCAGGATAGTGACTGAGAATTCAAAATCAATTATGACTCAGGATTTCTTATTTTTTTTTAATTAGAGCAAATTCTTTCTTTTTATACAGATTAAAATAAATTTTATATTGAGATATATATCATAAAATGCACAAATCATAGTGTACAGCTTGATGAATTTTGACATGTGTATATACTCCTGTAACCATTGCCCAGATTAAGATATCAGGATTTTAGAACAAATGTTAACAAGGAAAACTAGAGGTATAGAAGGGGGAGAAATGAGTCCTGCTTTATTTATTGATAAGTCTGAAATGCCTGTGGGGAATCTAAGCAGAGATGGTCAAATGGTTTTAAGATATTTTTTAATGAAAAACTGAAGTAACACCTTGATATTTTTTTCCATGTCTACTGATCTTGAGTGCCAAAGTTCAGTAAATATAGCAGTATATTAATAGATGATAGATAGGTAAGTAAGTAGGTAAGTAGGTAGATAAATAGATAAATATGACATAGTGGTAACCAAGACTCTATCTATCTATCTATCTATCTATCTATCTATCTATCTATCTATCTATCATCTATCATCCATCTATCTAGATCTACCTGTCATCTTTCTATACTGACAATTTAAGGACAAATTGTTCATCTCAATTTTAATTATAAAATTATCTAAAAGTCTAGTCCAATGGAGTTTTAGTAATAGGAATTTTTCTTTAAATGAAATCTTAAAGGTATTCATTCATTTATTTTCATTAGCTACTAAATATATAAAATCAGAAACTACAAGATTGTCTCCTTAGTTTCTCTCCTTACTTCCTTGAGAACCTTAGTGTTCTCCAGAACATATTTTTAATTTTTGAATATGTATCAGACTTTAATTAATTCAGTTAATATTACTTTCCTTGATTGACTATAAATTCTATGAGGGAAGGAACTTGGTATTTTCTTTACTACTTTAACCCATTGCCTAGCAAAAAGCATAGTAATAATATGTTCTGTAAGTATTTAGAGGATAGAGAAAAGAATGAGTGAGCAAACTATCACCTATTCTGTTTTATTCTTTTACTCCTGTATTAGATTTTAATAATTTTGATGTTACTAGTTACATAGCATGGCAATTGAACTCGACTTTTGTTATGCGTTTTAGTCCTATCTGAGCTAACCAAAATATGCCAAAGAACTCTGTAATGTTTATTAATTTACAAGGTATTCATATCTTTACTTATGTGAAGCAAATGTAAAGTAATAGATTTTTAACTTGTGCAGGAGTCACTAACCCTTGAGAATACCATAAAGTTTTAAGAAACTTCATCACAGAAAAACATAACATTCCCACTCATACAAAATGTCTTACCGAGTTTCAGGAATGCCTAGGACCCCTATAAGCCCATCTGAAATTTCTAGTGATTTTGAGTCCCAACCTCAGAAAATCTGTGTAATGAAAATCTCTATCCCTCCTAAGTAGCTCTCCTTCCTCTTCATGAATTCATTCCTTTTGACAAACTTCTACCATATGTAAAGCATTTTTCAAAGTCCTTGTGGTACGGTGGTAACCAAGATACCCCTTCAAACAAAAGTTCCTTTATTCTCTAAGTTCTGGCCTAAAAGCATCAGATGGAGGGAAATAAATAGCAACAGCATTATACTGAACAGTTATATGTAAGATGATGATAAATTCCCATTCGCTTAGGACAGTCCTGACTTACAGCTTGTCCCACTATAAGTACTGGTAGCATTCCTTTCACTCTTTAAAAGTGTCTTTATTGGATGATAAGTGACATGAATTTTTTTTTCATACAATACATACCAGCACCTGGAACTTTAAGTATTTTATAATTATTAGCTTTATAATACATGAATCTGAAAAAAAAAGTTACAATCAGAGAAACAATCTTTCATAATGGGACTCATGGAGTGATTTAAAGGGTATGGTAGAACTCAAGTAATATAAATATTATTTCTCACAGAGACTTGAATTTAGAGACTATAGTTTTCTGCAAAATGAAAGTCACAATAATTCCTTAGAAATTCCTATGCCCATATATAATTAAAATGTCTTTTGTCAATTAAGGTTGCATTTGAACTGATTCAAAGAAAATAAATTTCTTAATAATTTTTTTGTATATCTAAATAATACAATAGTCCATAGTTTTACCAATTACAAACATCGGTTTTAACTTTGATACTTCTTTAGTGATAAAAAATGCATACTTTATAATATATGTACAAAGAACTTTTTGATACTCCAGTACTGCTGTTTTTAAAAATAAATGTTTCTGAGATAGGAGGCATTTTTAAAGAACCTGTCTCATTGTAGTCAGATATGAAGGTGATATTATTTCATACTTCATGAGACAATGTGCCTTTATTTTTTTTCTGGATAACAAATGAGATTAAAATCCATGAATTATGACTAAAACTACTTATACACAGTCTTACATATTGCTTCGATATTTTGTTGCAAAGGCATCAGTTAATGGAATAAGGAAGTTTCAGTAAGTAATACATTCATTTTAGTAAATTTAAACTGCTTCAGTAAAAGGTAGGTATTGCACTATGTTAACTATCAAATTTTGGTGCATTTGATATTAAGAAGTCTTAATTAAAGACACAAAAACCTCTCTGAATTTTTTGTAACCAAACAGTTACAAAACCAAATGGTTTTTAATATCGTCATAAAGTAGATCTTCGCCTCCTTGTTGGCTAGACTTTAACAAGTCTAAGCTCAGGAAAGCCCAGCATAAAATAACAAGTGTGGGTAGGTGCTCATTGGTAATATAAATAGTTTTATATATAATCCTGCTTGAAATCTAATTCACCCCAACTCACTTCTTGTCATTTCATTTACTAAATTATTTTCCTTCTTTTAGAACGGGACCTGTTTGGAGCAGAACCTTTTGACCCATTTAATTGTGGAGCAGGGGATTTCCCTCCCGATATTCAATCAAAATTAGATGAGATGCAGGTGACTATTTTCACAGATTGGCCTATAAATGGTGTATTTCCTTTTAATATGGTACAAAGAGAAAATTATATACCAAAACTAGCCTTTCCCTTAATTATTATCAGTATGAAAACTTACTTAAAATAATTACTTTAAAATATTAATAAACATTTAGTCCTAAAAATACTACAGCTGCTAAGGCAAAGATTTTGTTTTGTTTTGCTTTTAATGGTGCAATTTACAGTGGCAATAAGATGTTCATCTTTTTATACAAAACTGCATGGATTCTAATGGTTCACTCTTTTGGAATCCAGAAATTAAAAGGTCATTGCACTCGATTTATAAGATCTGATCTCAGTCATAACAATGATGAATTTCAAAACTGTGAATGGGTAGATGAAGGAAAATCTTTGTAAGAGTAAAATCAGTCTCTCTTCCAAGGAGCATTGTAGTTGTAGTTCCTAACTGCCGGGCTCTTATTGAAAAAACAAACACTTAGTGACAACTTCTTTAGCAATGTCATCCATGTGAGTTTTTAATTCTTTCTCTCCCTTTTATTTTTCAATTCTGCATTGTTTTGGAAGTTTGAAGATACTGGTTTTAAAAGCTTCATACAGTGGGCCACAATTAATAAGTAGTCTTATAAGCACTAGAATAAAGTCTTCTCTTTATATTTGCCCTTTACATTTTGGTGAAGTTATTACATCCTATTTTTCATCAAAAAAACTATAGATGGTAGAATGCAGTCAGAAACCAATTACGTGAAGCTGATTGAGAAGAGGCTGTGAAGAGGAGTCATTTTCCTTTAATAGGCCATTCACTCTCTGTGCCTCATTTCCTAGAAAAAAAAGACTACTAAGTGGATTATGACCTTCTGACACTGATAAAACACTCCTTCCTAGAAGGATAGTGTGACTAAGTAACCTTCCACTCATTTTGGACTGCAGATTTGAAACAGTCTTCTTTTCTAGGTATTCTGTGAATTTCCTTATTGTCCTAGGTATAATAATGCCTGCACTTTAAAAGGTGGACTTCTTAACATATGCCTTAGGTTTTCAGAGAATATGTTAAAAGAACATTCCTCATGTTGGGTGGTTCACAATCCCCTTTGGCATGAAAAATAATTATAAATCCTTAATATTGACTTAATTTATTGTAATGTTTCTTAAATAGCTATTAAAAAGTTATAGACAACTTTTCCTTATAGCTCTTATGCAACTAAAAGCTCATTGTATTCAAATTTGAAAGCTATAAATTAAATAAAAAGAAAAGTTACAACACCTAGTAAAATTCAAATTAAGAATTTTAACAGGATGGAATGGATGATATTATTTGGCTGAAATTGAAACTATCAATATCAAACTTCTCTTGATTTTAACATGTATCCTGTTTGATGGCACAATTTTCCCACCTCCTTTCCATACTTCAGATACCACAAAACTTTCACACAAATAGTACATGATTATTAGAGAGAATGCTTTATTTATTTCACATGAAATCAATTCCTTTCCTTTTTTTATTAGTTTTGCCAATTAGGTTTGTACTACTTGGGACTGATGTTTTCTCAAGAACAAACACAACTATGAGCACTGTTGTGGTGGTATTTGTTTTCAAGCATTATGCAAATCATAGAGTTTAACTTTTCTATTAATACTTTTTAGATTTTCACAAAATGGAAAATTTTTCCATAGCCTTCTGAAGATAAGCATGTGTCTCCAGATTTTTGCAGGAACCCAGTTTGAGGAACATTTTATTGGAGTGATTTAGTGATGTTGTTAGTCAAATAATGTTAAGCTATGGTAATTTTGTTTTTGTTTTTGCCACTTCTAATATTTTCTTAATGTCTTTTTTATTCTTTTCTGCTCTCATGGTGGGTAGCGCCAAAGATGGTTGGTATTTTATTCTCATAATAATTTTAAACAACTTACAACTTCTTAAAGCTAAACCTTAATATTTACATGCTTTACTTAATAAATATTCAAACAGCAGTTTCATATGGATATCTCTATTAGTTATATTTAAAGAGGTTTTATAATTCATACTTTTGAGTTATTTTTTCAATGACTTAGTCACATTTGCATTGTTTACCTTATTGCTTGTCTGTTTCTTTTAGTCTACAATTTACTGCAAGGCCACTTTAACTAAAGTAAAATAATATTTTCTTCATCTAAAGACTATGACAACTTTTGTTATTAATCTTGTTAGCTTTAATGCACACATTTAGCTACTATTTTTATCTTTGCATATTATGTAAAAACTTAATACAGTATAATGGGTTGTATATAAATTATATTGAGCTAATAAGCCTAATGAAATATTTGGTTTTTTCTTTCATTTACAGAAGAAATCATAGAAATATCTCATGAATGTAAGAATTTAAGTGGAAATGTTAAGCCATATTTTATTGTACATTGTTGGAAAATTAGATCTCTATTTGAAAGCAGCAATGTAGTTATTTGGTTTGGCATATCTTAATCTTCATGGTATATGTCACCAACAGGCAAATCAATATAATAGCACTGATAGTCCAGAAGTATACCTTGTAAGTTATAATACTTTAAAAAAGAAGCATGGCAAGTCAATGAAGGATAAAAAAATTTGCATGAAGTCGTGTTAAATCAACTAACTACTTAATAATTTAGAAGAAGATCAATGTGCAGCTGAAACTTATGGCAAATACTCAAATTTCAGAATCATTAGGCAGTTTAAAATATTT